AAACGCACACAAAAAGAGACAGCTTAGTGTTGTGCTTCAGGCGCTGGATTAGAAGCAGGGAAACCTGAGTCCTTGTCCTGCCTTAGGCATGGAAGCCGGATGGGTGACTTTGGGCCAGTCCCTCTCTCTCAGCCCTAGTGTCAGAGTCTGCAGTAATTTCAATAAAGGAATCTTTAATAATAATTTCAATAAAGAAACCTTTACTGGAAACAAACCAGTCTCCAGAGGATTTACTGGGATTGGGAACTGAGACTTGCAGACTCTGACACCTAGGAAGAAAAAGGCAAGGAGAAACCACTTCAGAAAATCCTGCCAAGAAAACTGCAAGGTCTCGTCCAGGCACTCCAGGAATCAAGACAGACTCAAAGGCACCTATATAAATGAATGAATGAATGTTCAACAATGGCAAAGGGTCTCTGGAGGTGGTGATACCCCTTTGGTGGAGGTATTTAAAGCAGAGCTGGATAGCCAGCTGTTGGAGAGACCACAGTAGTGGATTTCTGCACTGCAGGAAGTTGGACTAGATCAGTTTTTTTCAAACTTGGCAACTTTGAGATGGGTGGACTTCAACTCCCAGAAAGCATGCTGGCTGGGGAATTCTGGGAGTTGGTCCATACATCTTAAAGTTGTCAAGTGTGAAAAACACTGGACTAGATAGATGAACTCCAAGGTCACTTCAAGGTTCCCTTATACCAAATCAGACTGATCTCAGCCTTGTCTACCCTGTCTGGCACCAACTTTGAGGTTTCAGAGTAGATTCTTGAGATGATAAGGGCTGATCCACAACCTTTTGATTCCAGTGAAGCTGTTCTTTCATTCATCTATAAATTAAATACACTCTAAGCACGGAGAGTCTTCAGGACATCATAGAAAGCTTCCCTACAAGGTCAAGACTGTTGGTCTATTTAGCCTGGTATTTACACAGATGGGAGTTCTAAATGAAATCATCAGTTTGATGAACTGAACTGAATTCTGGCTTCGAAACCTGTTTTGAAATGGATGGAAATATGAATAAAATGTGTCTCTGTGTGTGGACAACACAGGGAATTACAAATGAGCTGGCTAAGGTAGTTTAATTGCATAACCCAAGCCACATGGGGGTTGTGTGAATCCAGAAAACTGAGTCGAGTAAAGCTATGGTGGTTGATCTTGTTGTACAAACTCCATATATTCATCTTACACCTAAAATACTAGCTGAATTTAATTTCATTCCCCTACGTGAGCCTCTCCTGGCAAATAGAAGGGGTAGAAATGGAAGCAGTAACAGACTTCATTTATTTGGGCTCCAAGATCACCGCAGACGGAGACTGCAGCCATGAAATTAAAAGACGCTTGCTCCTTGGGGGAAAGCTATGGCAAACCTACATAGTGTATTAAAAAGCAGACACATCACCTTGCCGACAAAGATCCGCATAATCAAAGCTATGATTTTTCCAGTAGTAATGTATGGCTGTGAGAGCTGG